CGCCGTCGAAACGGGTGAGTGCCCAATAGCGGGTATTTCGGCGGCGCGCCGAGACATGGGGGGAGAACGGTAGGAACGCGCCACTGTTGCTCGGAGTTGCGCAGGAGAGTGCCGTACAGCGTCACTTTCTTGCGCATCCACCATCCGAGTTTGTCGCTGAGTACCATCAGGGTGGCGCTGAGTCGGGGCTGGCGCGAGGGGGACGGCCTTCAAAGAAGAGTTTGGGGGGTCCCAGCAGCCCTCCGCCCTCTAAAGCAGCTCGCTTCGAAGCTTCCGAGCCCGTCCGAGAAGCCCCCTCTTTCTTGGTTCTTGGACGTGTTCGGCGATTTTGGGGCCGCTCGGGGCGTCCTCGTCGCTAGGGCTGGATCTGCCTCGAAGTGTTGTTTAGAACGCGTCAGGACCACTGTGCTTTAAGCCTGGGGATGGGTGGAGTGAGGGAGGGAGGGGTCAGCGGGTTGTGGGGAGGAGCTGGGGGAGAATGGGTAGCGATGGCGTGGTGGTTGGTTCGGGAGCGGGGGAGGGAGGGGGCTCAACGGGAGAAAGCAGGATCAGCTGCACGCTTCTCTTCCTCCTCTTTCTCATTTTCCTCCTCCCTCCGCCCTCTTCCTCCCTCATTCCCCGTCCTCTCCCCGCCTCTGACCTCCCGTCATCCCCGTCCTCCCTCCTCCTCCCTCCTCCTCCTCCTCCCCCTCGTCCCTCCTCCTTCTCCTCTTCCTCCGCCTCCTCCATCCATCCTATTAGCGCCGTGCATATTCCGTCTACAGTCGGGGCCCTGAAGAAGGAACCCTTTTCGTTGGGGAGGGGCTCCGCGTTCCTTAAGTGTTTCACAGCTTGCCTCAGGCTTTCCTTATGTTTTCGGCAGGAAATCGAAGGTTAACTTATGGAACAGAGGGTTCCTTAGGTCAACGCCCCGACTGTAACTGCTTGCAACATGTTCACGGGTGGACGGCGAGTGATTTTCACAATGTGGATCTCGCCTTAGCGCCGCGCACATTATTTCCAAAAAGTTGCAAGTGATTGACGGGTGGATGGTGATTCTTTCAACGTGTGGTTTTCGCCTCGGCGCCGCGCACATTCGTTGTACGAGTCTGCAACAGTTTCAAGGAATCTCATGGTTTACGTCCCAAATGATATTTTGGCACGATGCCGTAGTGTCAGGTCGCAGCAGTCACGTTGATTGATGGTATTGCAGTCCGCAGCCCCAGGAATGGTGTTCTGGCGCGATTCAGGTCAAGACACAGCGGTTACGGTGATTTCGCGGCGTTGAAGTCCCAGGAATGGGGTTCTCGCGCAGTTCATTCTTTCCAAACGGTTGGCTTCCAGCGGGGCACCTGGAGGTCTTTCATTGAAAACGAATCATTGCAAGGGGCCTGTGAAGAGAAGAAGCCGCGAGGGATGATTGCAACATCGTTGACGAGTCGTGGGTATACACTTGTCCCTCCTCCTCCTCCTCCTCCTTCTCCTCCTCCTCCTCGAGGGAGTGCCTCCTCCTCCTCCTCCTCCTCCTCCTCCTCCTCTTCCTCTCCCCCCCCTCCTCCTCCTCCTCCTCCTCCCCCTCCTCCTCCTCCTCCTCCTCCTCCTCCTCCTCTCCTCCTCCTCCCCTCCTCCTCCTCCTCCTCCTCCTCCTCGAGTGAGTGCCTCCTCCGACCCCCCCGCACGCGCGGGGCAGTCGAGCACCCTCCTGCCCGGCCGCGAGGCGTCCGCTCCCCCCCCCCCTCCCTGGTCCGCCTCGGGGCGCCGGCGCGGCGGCCCGCAGGACGTCGCGGTGGACTTCGGCGGCGCCGCGGAGGAGCCTCTTGGCCGTTGCGCCGCGCGGCGCCATGGGGAGGGGGAGGAGGGGGAGGGGGAGAGGGGGAGGGGGAGGAGGAGGGTGGCGGAGGAGGAGGAGGGGAGCGGAGGCTAGGAGGAGCCGGAGCAGGAGGAGGAGGAGGAGGAGGAGGAGGAGGAGGAGGAGGAGGAGGAACGGTGTGATGACGGTCAGAGGGGGGGGGATGAAGAGGCGGAAGGGGAACATGAGGAAGAGACGAGGGAAGGAGGGGGAAACAGGATGAAGAGGATAAGCAGGAGGATGAGGATGAGACGAAGGACGATAAGAGGGGAAGTGCGGACAAGGAACAGAGCGGGAGGCGAAGCAAGCAGGAGCGGAAGGGGGATCGCTGCCGCCGTTCGGTGCCGTCCATTTTTGAGGTCGGCGGCCGTAGTCCACGACGTCAACGCCGGGCGTCGCGATCGCCGTCGTAGTCGCGATCTCCGCCGCCGCCGTCCGCGTCTCGTCGTCGTCATCGTCGTCGTCGTCGTCGTCGTCGTCGTCGTCGTCCGTCATCCTCCGCTGCCCGTCGTCGTCCGTCGCCGTCCGTCGTCGTCAAGCCGTCGCCCGTGGTCGTCCGCCGCCGTTCGTCCTCGTCGCCTCGGCCTCGGCCCGCGTCCTCGTCGGCCGTCGGCCCTCGGCCCGCGAGGGCCCCCGGGTCGCGGACAGCGCGGCGCACGGCGCCCTCCTGAGGCGCGCGGCGGGGCCGCCCGCGGCGCCCGCGCCACTTCCCCGGGAGGAGGAGGAGGAGGAGGAGGAGGAGGAGGAGGAGGAGGAGGAGGAGGAGGAGGAGGAGGAGGCGGAGGAGGCGGAGGAGGAGGAGGCGGATGAGGAGGAGGGGTGGAATAATGATGATAAGCGTATTAATACGAATACTAAGCACACTACTGGGAATATCAATATTATGAAGAAGACGAATACGGAAACTAATGACAATACGACGATTACTAATACGGATAATAATGCTAACGCAAAGAGAACGAACGCTACTAATAATCAGGGGACGAAGAGGAACATGCTTCATACTAATACGGAGAAGAATTCGATACTAAAATGATGTCACGAATAATAGAACTAGGAGTTTACTCATCATAATACGAGCACGGTTGCGAATACGAATGCGAATGTCAGTGCTAATGACAACGCATCGTACTAACATATCGAAGAAGACGCCTACTAATACTACGAATACGAATGCCGCTACTAATAATATTAAGACGAAGAGCACTAAGACTGTTACTACTAAACATCATACGAACCATATTACTACTACTACTACTACTACTACTACTTCTAATACAAGTACTCGTATTAATACACATACTACTACACATACGAACACTATAATAATAATAATAATAATAATAATAATGATAATAATAATACGAATAATTCCACGACGAACGCGACTAATATGATTGATAGTATGAAGGCGACGCGTATGAACCACACTGAGACGATTCCTCATACGAGCAAGAAGAGCACGACTAACAATACTGATACTACTACGAATATTAAGATGACTACAACTACTATTCACACTACTAGAATTAATGAGAAGAGGGGGAGGAGGAGGAGGAGGGGGGAGGGGAGGAGGAAGAGGAGAAGACGGAGACGAATCATCAGCAGAGGAGAAGAGAGAAGAGAAGGATCAGAGGAAGGAGAGAAGAGGAGGCGGAGGAGAAGAGGAGGAGAAGGAGGAGGTGGAGGAGGAGGGGGTGGAGGAGGAGGAGGAGCAGGAGGAGTAGGAGGAGGACAAGGGGAGGAGGAGCAGGTGTTGGGGAGGGGAGCACGAGGAGGCGGAGGAGGAGAGGAGGAGGGGGAGAGGAGGAGGAGGAGGAGGAGGAAGAGGGAGAGGAGGAGGAGGAGGAGGAGGAGGAGGAAACCAGAGGAAGAGGAGCAGGAGGAGGAGGAGGAGAAAAGGAGGAGGAGGGAGGGGGAGGAGGAGGAGGACGAGAGGATGAGGAGGAAGGAGGTGGAGGGAGGGAGGAGGAGGAAAAGGGAGAAGGAGGAGGAGGAGGAAGAGGAGGAGGAGGAGGGGGAAGGAGAGGAGGAGGAGCAGGAGGAGGAGCAGGAAGGGCACCCGGTCGCCTTCCGTGCGGAGGGCTTTCCCTTTGGGTGTCATCGTCGGGCTTTTCTGCGTCGGGCTTGCCCAGGTGCTGTCAGGATGCTCCTAGTGAGGTCCTTCACGACCTCACGAAGCCCACGCAGCCCACGAAGGAGGCACCCCCCCTCGCGAAGCCCACGAGCGAACGAAGGGGCAGACCGCCCGGCCCCACGGCCCAAGTGGGTGGCGGGCCCCACGGCTTCAAGCCAAGAGCGCTCCACAATGGCCCAAGATGTCGAGGAAACCCAACACGGCGTAAACAGACGTTCTCGGATTTTCCTACGGATTTCTCGGATCCGCGCCTGGGCGCCCCTGGCGGCGCCTCTGGAGCGCCGCCCCTTGCGCGTCCAGCGCGCCAGGGAGGGGGGTCCAGCGCCGAGTCGAGAGAAAGTCCGCGCGAACTTCCGAGGCATCATGCTCATGCCCTCTCTGGTTCCTCCGAGGTGCCTTCGAGGCGGTGCCAAGAGGCGCCCTCGATCCTCCTCCTCCTACTCCTCCTCTTCCTCCTCATCCTCGTCCTCCACCTCCTACTCCTCCTCCTGCTCCTCCTCCTCCTCCTCCTCCTCCTCCTCCTCCTCCTCTTCCTCCACCTCCTCCTCCTCCTCCTCCTCTTCCTCCACCTCCTCCTCCTCCTCCTCCTCCTTCTCCTCCTCAGGGGGCTTCGACCAGACCTGGCCAACGTGCCTCATGGCAGCACGAGGGCCGTAGAGGATGTCGAGCCGCGCTGGGCGTCGGCGAGGCTGGCCTCCTGCTCCCCGCACGGGTCCCCCTGCTGCTTCGAGGATCGAGGAGGAGGAGGAGGGGGAGGAGGAGGAGGAGGAGGAGGAGCAGGTGGAGGAGGAGCAGGAGGAGTAGGAGGAGGGGGAGGAGGAGGAGGAGGGGGAGGAGGAGGAGCAGGAGGAGGAGGAGGAGGGGGAGGAGGAGGATGAGTAGCAGGAGGAGGAGGAGGAGGAGGAGGAGGAGGAGGAGGAGGAGGAGGAGGAGGAGGAGGAGGATCGAGGCTTGAGGATCGAGGCTCGATGCTTGAGGCTGGAGGCTCGAGATCACGCCCGTGAGGCTCGAGATCACTCCCGGGTGTCTCGCTCTCTGGCGACGACGAGGGCGCGGGATCGTTTCTGGCGCATCCTGCCTGAGGGTCTCGAGGAAAGCGAGAGAGAGAGAGAGAGAGAGATCTGAGGAGGAAATGTCACCGATACCGCATCCTTTCGCCCGTTTCCCCCTTTCTCGGTTTCCTGGGAGGCCCTCGTCGCCACGTCAGGATTCGCCTTGAAACCCTGGTCAGAACTCGCCCCGAGAGAGGTCCAGGCAGTAACGGTATCGGTACGTTCTCTTTCCCAAAAAGGGACAGCATAGAGAAGCACATACTTACACATACTCACATTTCTGTACACGTAGCACCCCGCAGTCGCGGATAAGAGTGAGCGAGGGGCGGAGACGTTGGCAGTCTGCGAGGCTCTGAATTTTGCCCGCCGCAGGCGCCTGATTTTTAAGCCGTGTACAGCGAGCCCGCCTGAGGCGCCGGGTTGTCGTTAAAGCAATATGGGTGGGTCGTGGGGTGTGTCGCGGGTGGGTCGCGGGTTCGTCGCGGGTGGGACGCGGGCCGGGTCGCGGGTGGGTCGCGGGTAGGTCGCGGGTGGGTCGCGGGCAGGTCGCGGGTGGGTCGCGGGCAGGCCGCGGGGTGGGTCGCGGGGAGGATCGCGGGTGGGTCGCGGGTGGGCCGCGGGTGTGTCGCCAGTGGGTCGCGGGTAGGTCGCGGGCCGGGTCGTGGGGGGGACGGCGGCAATGAACAACAACAGCAACAGCAACACGACCACCACCACAACACCAACAACAAAAACAATCATTGTAAGATAGTTCGCTCTTATCTGCTCGAGTGTTATTCAACGTGGATTTCCCCAGCCCTCAGTACCTGCCCTTTTCGCTTCCGGGGTACCCTTTTTGGGGGTATATCTTTCTTCCCTGCAGGCCGGACCCCGGCAAGCGGCGGGGCTGCCGCGGACCGTCTGCCTGGTCAGCGGCAGCGCTGATCGGCGGCAGCCCGACCCCACGAGGGACGAACAAGGGACTGATTACCACGATGACGACGAGGACGAGGACGAGGACGACGACGACGACGGCGACGACGACGACGAGCGAAAGCGAGAGCGAGAGCGAGAGCGAGAGCGATAGCGGGGCCACGAAGGGCAGGAAAGGGGCCACGAAGGGCGACAGCGGGGCCACGAAGGGCATGCGTATGGGGCTACGAGGGGCGCGAACGAGCGGGGGCCACGAAGAGCAGATCATGCGGGGCCGCATTGGGCAGCGACGGGGCCACTGAGGGTAGCAACGGAGCCACGCGGGACAGCGATGGGGGCCGCGAAGGGCGACAGCGGGGCCACAAAGGGCATGCGTATGGGGCCACGGGCGCGAACGAGGGGGGGCCACGAAGGGCATACGTAGATAGGACCGCATATGGAAAGGGCGGGGCCACTGAGGGCAGCAACGGTGCCACGACGGGCAGCGGCATATGGGGCCACGGCGGGCGCGAACGAGCGGGGGCCACGAAGGGCATGCATATATGGGGGGCCACGAAGGGGGGCGAGGGGGCCCCGAAAGGCTGCGACGGGGCCACGACGAGCAGCGAGGGGGACACGAAGAGCTGCAACAGGGCCACGAAGGCGCGGGGACCACGAAGGGCGGCAACGGGGCCACGAAGGGCAGCGAGGGCGCCACGAAAGGCTGCAACGGAGCCGCGACGGGCAGTGATGGGGGCCACGAAACGCTGCAACGGGGCCACGAAGGACAGCGAGGGGGCCACGAAGGGCTGCAACGGGGCCACGACGGGCAGTGATGGGGGCCACGAAGGGCTGCAACGGGGCCACGAAATGCAGCGAGGGGGCCACGAAGGGCTGCAACGGATCCGCGGAGGGCAGCGAGGGGTCACGAAGGGCTGCAGCAGGGCCACGAAGGGCAGCGAGATCTCGATTCCTAAGTGAGCCGTGAGGGAGTCCTAAGCGTGAGCGCGAGTCGTGGGTGCCTGAGTGTCGGGAGCGCGGCGCTTGAGCCCATTGCTGGGAGATCCAACGCAAAAGCGCGATTCTGGAGTACATTCGAAACATGTCTCCAGCGAGGGCCGGACCCCATAGCGCCGAAACAACGATTCCTGAATACACTAAGGAAATCCCAAGCGAGAGCGCGATTTCTGAGTAAAATGCGAAGGGATCTCAGGCGGGAGCGTGGGTCCTGGCTAAATTGTGAGGACGTTTCAGGTGGGAACCGTTGAGTTCTCATTTCTGAAAAAAAAAATTATTTAATCGCTTCGCTCATTCCGCCGGCCCTGGAGCGCTATTTGGGGCCTCTTGGGGCCGTCTTGGGGGCTTCTTGGGTTTTTTTTTGGGAGCGTCTTGGGGTTCCTTGGCGGCGTATTGGGCTCCCCTGGGGCCTCGTGGGGGGCTCCTGGGGGCCCCTTGGGGCGGGAGGGGGGGTAGTCGTTGGCAGTCCCCCCCTCGGAGGCCACGATCCTCGGAGGGGTGGCGAAAAATACCCCCCCCCCCCCGGGTTATCGCCCGGGGGTCAGCCGGGGATCGGCCGGGGTACTTTTCGTCCG